CATTATTTAGATGTATAGAACTTTACTCGTACGCTTCGCTCGCAGGGTACTTTACTCGGAACACAATTTATGTGTTAAAATTACAACCCTGAAATCTTAATGTAAAAGACTGTTCATTTTTATCAACTGAAGAAAATTCATTCATCAAAGTCATTATTTAGATGTATAGAACTTTACTCGTACGCTTCGCTCGCAGGGTACTTTACTCGGAACACAATTTATGTGTTAAAATTACAACCCTGAAATCTTAATGTAAAAGACTGTTCATTTTTATCAACTGAAGAAAATTCATTCATCAAAGTCATTATTTAGATGTATAGAACTTTACTCGTACGCTTCGCTCGCAGGGTACTTTACTCGGAACACAATTTATGTGTTAAAATTACAACCCTGAAATCTTAATGTAAAAGACTGTTCATTTTTATCAACTGAAGAAAATTCATTCATCAAAGTCATTATTTAGATGTATAGAACTTTACTCGTACGCTTCGCTCGCAGGGTACTTTACTCGGAACACAATTTATGTGTTAAAATTACAACCCTGAAATCTTAATGTAAAAGACTGTTCATTTTTATCAACTGAAGAAAATTCATTCATCAAAGTCATTATTTAGATGTATAGAACTTTACTCGTACGCTTCGCTCGCAGGGTACTTTACTCGGAACACAATTTATGTGTTAAAATTACAACCCTGAAATCTTAATGTAAAAGACTGTTCATTTTTATCAACTGAAGAAAATTCATTCATCAAAGTCATTATTTAGATGTATAGAACTTTACTCGTACGCTTCGCTCGCAGGGTACTTTACTCGGAACACAATTTATGTGTTAAAATTACAACCCTGAAATCTTCTCGCTGCTAAATAGCAACTAGGACGACCAGAAGAAAGAACGGGATGTGTTCTAAAATTTCCTGTTATTCATAAAATGACAAATTTTAAAACAAATTTAGCTCCAAAATACCCTAAATACATTATGCACTCATCTCGCTACTAATTTAAACCATCACTCAGTATCTTTATCTGGTATATATTCACTATCAAACTAACTATCAAACTAAATAACACTTTATTAAACTCGCTAAAATATCAACATTTCACATCAAATTGAAAGAACATACCAAAATCCTGACTTAAAATTCGGATTTTGTACTTCTTATATAGTTATCTTGCACATTAACTTCTGATATTGCACATTTGCCCAAGATATCCCTCCATGGTATTGCACATTTGCCCAAGATATCCACCAATAATTCTTCGACGTAGGTAAGGTGGGAGTAATTTCACATTTGGTGTTGAAAAAAGGTTTGGGGTCCGATCCTCAGCGGGGTCTGATCCTCAGCGGGGTCTAATGATTGAATTTCACGCTTGATGCTTTACCTTAGCTAGTCGAGTTTATCTCACTCACTCATGTTGGTCTTAAACTAAAACCTAAGAGACCTAATGCACTTCTAACAGTCAACAGAAACTTTTAGCATGCATGCAGTATGCAAATCAATGAATATTTCGTGGCCTGGACTGAACAGCTTGTGAAGCCAATACTGTGGCCCCAGGCCGTCCTCAGGAAATTCTTCAGGGGGGTGGGGGTAAGGTCATGTCAACCGACTGACGAACGAGCTTGTACAGACCATATGCCAGCCATGGAAGCTTGTAAAATTTCCCATGGAGGTCAACTAAATTCAGGGACCGCAAAACCATTTTTGGATTAAGTGGGCTATAGCGAACGCCGAAGGCGTGAGTTTGTTAGTGGCGCCGGGTACTTGCTCTCCCGTGAAATTTTAAAATCTGAGACCTCCCAGAGCCCCGAAAATGCAATCAAATTCACTAGTTGCTGTTAAAAGGTTTCTTAATAGACGACTCTTAATATAATATTACCCGTCATTTGTTTAATCCGACCAGAAATAGATTGAACACTTTGCTATATAAGTTATAGTATTCTTAGTTAATAAAAATCACATATGTATGGAAAATTATTGCATGGGGGGGGGGGGGGGCTCCGAGGTCCCTGAAATTACGCCCGTTGTGCTCTAAATGTAGCCGAGTCAGACGAATAACAAATTATATAATTCGTTATTTGTCTAACCATAGCCTATCGAAGGGGAGATGGTTGTGAAACTCATTTGAATAACAATATAACTCATTATCTATGTTGGTCAACGTTTATTCATAAATCTGGTCCTTCACCGTCACGTGTGTATTGCATTTCTTCCGTTTTTTATTTAACAGGTGAAAATCATATCGGTAGTAGTTTTATTCGTCAAAAATATTTTTGTCTGCCGACTAAAATAGCAGTCCTGCCGACTGAAGCTTTTGTGACTGGAGGTGTCACCTTCCC